ATCCTAGCAAAAGGGGAAATGAGCTTTTATTTAGTCCACCAAAAAGTCCAATGCAAATTAAAATTTGCAACACAACCCAAAAGTCTTCTTTCTCTATTTTCCTAACCCACTAGGTAAAAGACAAACCTATATGATTTCATTTGCACATCGTAAGGGACGATAAACACAAAGACCATAGCTAAATGGAAAAAAGAGGAAACAAAACACGTAGTGGCAGAGAAACAATAAGAGAAGAAAAACAATAACTGAAAAATGGTATATAAAGAATATCAATGTGAAAGGCTGATGGAATCATGCCTAAGAAGGCAGGGGGTGACACACTAAAGGAACCAGGAGGAATGGGCTAGACATGAAGGTTTGGGCTAGTCAAGGCAAATCTTCAAGAAGTTGATCCTACGCTTTGTGAAGGAAAGGAGAAGCAAATCTTCCACTTCTCATGAACTCCACCATCAAAGGCGAAGGCATTGGAGAAAAGAGAAGTCCTAGTCCATAATGTTAGGAGGGGAGAACTAGAAAGCCATGAATGTGAGTGAGTGATCAAAAGAGAATTCTTGATTCAAGGGAAAGGCTTTCAGCTTTGGAGGCTTCTTTGAGAAGTTAACTAGGAGAAAGATAATAGATTTAGACTTTTAATTTGATTACAATTAATAATATAAAAATATAAAAATATAATATTAAAATATATATTAGTTTTTAGAAAATTTTGGGGGAGTTGTGGCTCCCCCCATACCATGAAAGAACGAAGCACATAGAGGCTAATTGTCATTCAATTAGGGAACCCTGTGACCTAAGAATTATCACTCTACCTCATGTCTCAACATCTGTTCAAATAGTTGACGTTCTCACCAAATCCTTGACACGCTAGTGGCATAATTTCCTAATCAACAAATTGATGCTTCTAGATTTACCCACATCAATTTGAGGGGGGTTGTCAATAGAATTGATGACAAATTATTTGACATTATTTTTGCTGATTTGTTGACCCTTTAAAAGGGTTTCTCCCAACCGTCGCAATGTTTGAAAATTTTGTGACGGTTTTGAGAAAAACCGTCGTAATGTTGTAAAATTTTGCGACGATTGGGAGAAACCGTCGTAATGTTAGAAAATTTTGTGACGATTTTGGGAGAAACCGTCGTAATTTTAAAAATTTTGCGACGGTTGGTAGAAACCGTCGTATGAAGGGTCGCAATATCAAAGCGACGACGGTTTCAGGATAACCGTCGCAATTTGTCTATCGCAATTCATCATTTTTCTTGTAGTAGATGTCACATATCCTATCAAAGTATACAACAAATATGAATTTTAGGGACTAAAATATAGTGACGAAAGTAAAACTTGTCACTAAAAATATATTTTTTTTGACTAAATTTTATTTCGCCACTAGTATTATTTATAATAGTGACAAAAAATAAGTCATCACTACAATTCTAGTAATAGTGACCAAAATATGTTTGTCACAAAAAAAAAATTGACATTAATGTCTACAAAGTTTACTTTTTATTTTAAAATCGTCACTAATATATTTTACTAAACATAAAAAATATATTTGTGACAAAAAAAATGACTTTATCATATGTATTATAATCCATGTTCAGTGATTATACTATTGAAGTTATCATTTATTTTTAATTATAGACAAATTATTCATTATTCATCATTTAAAATTTGAAGTATTTGTGTCTATTAATTCTTATATATATTAAATACGAACCTTTATATGAGAGTGTTTTAGGGGCTTTTATTATCTAATTTAGTTTTATTAATCATAATTATTTATAAATTAAATATTAATATTTTAAAATAAATTATTAATAAATAAAAATAAATATTTTGTTACAATAAAAATTATTTATCATAATTTTAAGATATTATTTATATATTTAAAAATATTATATAATTTATTGTAAATTTTAATCAAGTCCTATATATTAAACATGAACCTCTAGAATATTTTAAAGATTTCTCTTCGACGAGAGAACTTTTATGCATTCTTTTAACTTCTTGTCTAATTCAATTTTTCTTTATTCTAATCATTTATGAATTAAATTTTAATATTTTTAAAATAAATTATCAATAAATAAAAATAATATTGTGATATAATATAAATTATTTATCATAAATTTTAAATATAATTTATATATATTGTATATTTTATTTGTTATAAAATTTAGTGCATATAATAAGTATTTAACATGTGCATTACACATGCCAAAATACTAGTAATAATTAATTATAAATATTTAATATTAGTGTATTAGTAAATTATTAAAATCAAATCCGAGCAGTTAGTTTGACATGAGAAACATTTGGTGGTGAATTTTTCAACACTATAAAACAACTAATCTTAAAAATGGTGGAAAAAAAATTGAATTGACTCGATTAATAAAATCATAAAATTAAAACATATGCAAAAATTTGTTTAAATTAGTCTCTTTTCACTCATATTATCCCACAAGCGCCAAAAAATAATTTCACCAATTATTGATCTCTATTACTCCTCTTTGTACCTCTATAATAATTAAATAAAAATTAAATAAGTAACTAATGTTTGATGGTTCAATTGGTATTGTAGTTGATTTTTAAGCTTCAAGGTCTTAAGTTCAAGTCTCAGGATATATAAATATATTATTTTTTTAATCTTTTAATAATAAAAGGATATAATAGTCTACTAGATGTGGAGACCAACTAATTACTTAAAGAGGTATCCCTTTTATATATACTAGTGGAATCAAGGCACTTCGTGCCTCTGTTAAAAATAAAATAATAAAAGTATATTGATCTAATTGGTATTATGCTTAATCTATTTGTAAGGCTCAAAGCTAGGGATAACAAATATACCCGTACCCGCGGGTAATACCCGAACCTGTCCTGACTTTGATGGGGAATACCCGGTTTGACCGGCTATGGGTACGGGTACGGGTATGTACTTACCCGTCCCGTACCCGTCCCCGTTTTCATTTTTAATTTAATACCCACTTTCAATTTAATTATATTAAAGAATTTTAATATTTTTTTATGTGTGATTATTTATTATAATATGAGATAGAGAAATAACCTAATTATAGTTATAATATAATAAAAAAATATTTTAAAAATATCATATTTTTTTTATAAAAATAAAAAATAAAAAAAATTGATGGGTACGGGTATACCCGATACCTGACGGGAATGGGGATGAGGATGAAAATCACATACCTGACGGGTATGGGTACGAGGACGGGGATGAGTTTGACTCGCGGGGACGGTTAAGGATAAGCTTAGGCTATCTCTTAACTTATATAATCCCACTAAGGTCTCAGGAGCTCGGAGATCTTTTATTAAGAATTCCCCTTGTCCAGGCATAAAGCGAAAGCCTATCGACATCATATAACTGCTAGCATTTTCGGTTAAATTCTTAATAGGGTTATGTATATCAAGAAATGGTGCTTTAGTCATTTCAATAACATACCGAGTAAACGTCGATGGATTAGTACGAATCTTAAATCTTTCTAAAATAGTAGCAGTAGGAGTAAGAGATGAAATAAAACTAATATTATTTAAGCTTGCGCCACTAGAACTGCTAGAGCTAGAACTGCTATCATTCAAAGAAAGATTACGTAATCTATCAGTTATAGTAAATACATCGTAGTTCTTCTCAACTATAGCTACAACTTCATGATAGGATGGTTTATTTAATGCATACATAGCTGAACTCTTGGCCATTAAGCATGATATTGAATTAGCTTGGAACCTGGGTTACTGTAAAATGGTGTGTGAATCTGACTATTTAGAAGTTGTGGAAGCAATCATTCATTCTACTTTGGCCTCCATGGCTTTCCCTTCCGTGCGAGATCTCTTGATAGATATTTGCCTTCTTCTTTCTAGGACGTGGCAAACTCGACTTTTATGTATTCCTCGTGAAACTAACATTGTTGCAGACCCACTGTTGCAGACCACTTAGTAACTTTTGGAAGTCACAATGTGACACGTGAATTTATTGTGCCACTGCCATTTGTTATGGAGACTTTCTTGCATGATTTGTCGGCCCCAATCTAGCTGTTATTCTTTATGGGCAATTCCTTATACTACCAAAAAAAAAAGAGATGAATTTCTTAATTTTTTTTTGTATTTTCATGAATTAATCCTTTTTGGAATGCCCTCAGTTAAAAAAATAAATAAAATCATAGAAATCCTACTCTAAGGTTTATTCATTCCACACATGTGGGTCATTAAACTTAATATATATATATATATATATATATATATATATATATATATATATATGAGAGAA